TGCCCTGGCTCATGAAGCCCTATACAGGCGCCCTGGACAGTGAAAAAGAACTCTTCAACTACCGGCTGAGCAAGTGCAGAATGGTGGTGGAGTGTGCTTTTGGACGTCTCAAGGGGAGATGGAGAACCTTACTGACTCGCTGTGATCTCAGCGAAACCAATATCCCCATTGTTATAGCAGCTTGCTGTGTGCTCCACAATCTCTGTGAGAGCAAGGGGGAGACCTTTATGGCGGGGTGGGAGGTTGAGGCAAATAGCCTGGCTGCTGATTACGCCCAGCCAGACAGCCGGGCGATTAGAAGAGCCCAGCGGGGCGCGCTGTGCATCCGGGAGGCTTTGAAAGCTAGGTTCCTGAGTGAGCAGGGTAACCTGTGACTATTAAGTTTGTTTACAGAGAAGCTGAACCTGCCCCCATTTCTTTACCCAGTCAATGTTCACTATCCTCTCCAGTTACATACCCCGTTCCCCCCTTCCAACACACGTTTAAAAATAAAATCACTTGAAATTTGTTAATGAACACCGTTTTCTTTATTACTGTTTTCGCGGGAAAGTGTTGCACCTGGGACGCAGACTGCGGTGGGGAGCGGGTGTAGTGTAGTGATGCAAAGGACGCTTCTAAACTCCAGGAATGACCGGCTCCGCACTGGTGGACTGGTTGTTTCAACGGAGCTTGACACCCCTCCTGTTCGGGACTCTGTGTGTGGGGGCTATGTGACTTTGTGGCAGGGGGAGGACGGTTACAGATCCCCTGCTGCATGGCTCTGTGATCCAGGATAAGGACCGCTGCATAAGATCTCTAACCGCCCTCCCCCGCCACAGTCACATAGCCCCCTCCCCCCCACAGAACATGAAAACCACCTCCCAGACTGACCAGGGTAACTAGTGACTGCAATGTGTGTGTGCCCTGCTGCTGAACCTGCCCCCGCGTCTGTACCCTGGTAAAGGTGACTGTCCTGTCCAATTACCAACCCCCTTCTCCCCCTTCAAACAGACTCTCCTCTAAAAGAACATGATGGAAACAGTAATTAACAGAAACGTGTTTTTTATTAGCAACCACACATGAAACTGGGTTATGAAACTGGGATGGGGGCTTTGGTGAGGCGGGAAGGAAAGGACTTATCAAATTTTGGGGAATGAGAGCCTTCTGGTACTTGAGCAGTCTGCAGGGGTGGAGTGAGAGTTTTCACGGACTCTGCCGCCCCTCCTTCTTGGGACTTTGGGTGAGGGGGGTATGGGACTTTGTGGCTGGGGAGGGCGGTTAGAGATAGACTGCAGCGGGGCTCTGTCCTCCTGCCTCCGGTCCTGCAGAACATCCACAAGGTGCCGGAGCGTGTCCGTTTGCTCCCTCATTAGTCCAAGCAGCGTTTGAGTCGCCTGCTGGTCTTCCTGCCGCCACCTCTACTCCCGTTCCATGTGTGATCGGTGCATTTGGGACAAGTTCTCCCTCCACTGGGTCTGCTGGGCTGCCTGGGCTCGGGAGCATCCCATAAGTTCCGAGAACATGTCCTCCCGTGTCCTCTTCTTCCTACGCCTAATCTGCGCTAGCCTCTGGGAGTGTGATGCCAGGGTAGTTCGTGAGACAGTCGCAGCTGTGGGATGGGAAAAAGGGAGTGAATTCCTCAGAAAGATAAATTTTTGGTTGAACAAAGAACATAGTCTTTCTCTGTGAACAAGACCATGCACAGCACCTATCACATGCGCACTCAGGACAAGGTCGAATTTTCGGCCTTCGCATTCAGTGCCTGGGGTCTTGCAGTGCAGATCAGACAAGCGGGACAGGACAGCGGAATTTGGGTAACAGGCTGACATGGTAAGCCGTAGACTTGTGGCTGCTTAAAACTTTAATAATAGCACTGGCCTCCTTTCACGTTCAAAGCAATGCCAGTCCCTGCTGCCAGCAATCCGGCAAGCATGAACTCTGCCCCTGTCCCACCCCCTCGCGGCTGTCCCAGGGAAAGATCCCTGTATGCTGCTCCTCTCCCGCCTCCACCGCGTGGCTCTAAACCGCCGGTTACAGTTTTGTAAAGGAACAGGCAAGCAGTCCCAATACTAACATTCCCCTACCTAATTCAAAGCAGGTCACCATGAGCGACATCACTCTGATGAGGATTTCAGAGACGGAGAAAGAACGGATGCTTCGGGAAAGCCTGCAAAGACCAGGGCCGTATGCCGCCATGCTCTGCAAGGCAATGATACCCGAGTACTTGATTGTCTCCTGGCGCGGAAACGTTTCATACCATGGAGGACCCAATAAGGCCGCTCTCCCCAGGAACCTGATGCAAAGGCTTTCCAATTACCTCCAGGAGCGCTTCGTGGAGATGTCCCAGGAGGATTTCTGCTCTATCCCCGGACATATAGACCGGATTTTACTGTAGCTGCACTGGCAGGGACTAAACAGTAGAGGGCCTAGGGCAAACCAATCATGCTAAACCGGACATTGTTAGATTTTTTTTCAGTAGTTGCACTGCCAAGGACTGAAACGTTAAGCGCCTAGGGCAAAGTAATCATGAAAAACCCATTGTTAATATTCCTGTTCTGTTAAAAATAAATGTTTACATGTTTAAAACACTTACTGACTGATCCTTCCCCTGATTCTGTGTCCGGGTTAACACCTGGGGACGGTTGGTAGGGGATCTCTGTAAGGGTGATGAAGAGATCCTGGCTGTCGGGGAAATCAGCGTTGTAAGCGCTGTCGACTGCCTCGTCCTCCTTATCTCCTTCCTCATCTTCCCCGTCCGCTAACATGTCTGAGGAACCAGCCGTCGACAATATCCCATCCTCAGAGTCCACGGTCAGTGGTGGGGTAGTGGTGGCGGCCGCACTTAGGATGGAATGCAGTGCCTCTTAGAAACGGTCTGTCTGGGGCTGGGATCCGGAGCATCCGTTTGCCTCTTTGGTCTTCTGGTAGCCTTGTCTCAGCTCCTTGATTTTCACGCGGCACTGCGTTGCATCCCGGCTGTATCCTCTCTCTGCCATGGCTTTAGAGATCTTCTCATATATCTTTGCATTCCGTCTTTTGGAACGCAGCTCGGAAAGCACGGACTCATCTCCCCACACAGCGATCAGATCCAAGACTTCCTGATCAGTCCATGCTGGGGCCCTCTTTCTATTCTGAGATTGCATGGCCATCTCTGCTGGAGAGCTCTGCATCGTTGCCAGTGCTGCTGAGCTCGCCACGATGTCCAAACAGGAAATGAGATTCAAACTGCCCAGACAGGAAAAGGAATTCAAATTTTCCCGGGGCTTTTCCTGTGTGGCTGGTCAGAGCATCCGAGCTCGGACTGCTGTCCAGAGCATCAACACAGTGGTGCACTGTGGGATAGCTCCCGGAACTATTACCATCAATTTCCATCCACACCTAGCCTAATTTGACATGGCCATGTCGAATTTAGCGCTACTCCCCTCGTTGGGGAGGAGTACAGAAGTCGAATTTAAGAGACCTCTATGTTGAACTAAATAGCTTCGTGGTGTGGACGGGTGCAGAGTTAATTCGATGTAACGGTGCTAAATTCGACATAAACTCCTAGTGTAGACCAGGCCACAGACTTACCTATTGTCTTCTCTAAGTTTTCTGAAAATGAAACAAATGTTCAGTGATAATGACTGAAACTTTCATTGTGTAAGGGCCAGGCAGGAAGGTAGCTACCTGTTAAAGGTTAAAGATGTGCTGTATTGTCCTGTCTGTGCAATCAGAGAGGGTAGGAAGGGGATCAATGTGCATTTTCCCCACTTCCCCCACACGAGTTGATCCAGCATTTGTAGCTGTATGGATATCAGGACCAGATAAGGGCCTTTGTGACATCTGGGTCAAGTGCAACAGTACGATAGTCAGCTGAACCCTCCTCTTTCATGGGGGAGAATAACTTATTGTGGAGCGGTTTAGTTTGGCTGAAGCTCACTGGAGCATGTAAAAGACACTCAGCAGGGAGAGGAGATCACCAACATGGCTAATATTTATTCTATTGTAACCCTTCAGCCAGGTGGAGCTGTCAGCAGCCAGGGCTGGGTTCAATATCTAGGGGTTCCTTTTCAACAATACAACACAAAACTGGCTTGAGCCCCCACCCATTACCGTGGGAAAATGACATCCCAGGGTGCCTCTGAGAGGCAAAACTTCCTCATTTGCAAGCACAGAGTCTGTAGGAAAGAAACTTTTAATGAAAGGAGGAAAGTCACCCAACATTAATTGAGGAAAATGCCATAAGCAGGATTGATAAAGACAAAGCTGTGATCAGGACACCTACCCCGGAATGCATGAAGCAGAGTCTTCTGCCTCCTGTTCTTGAGTTCTACAACCAAAACTTCCTTTTCTGTGCCCCTCTCTGCTCCTTCACCACACCCCACTGACAGTGATTGTCCTTGGTGAGGACCCAGGGTTCAGAGGTGCATCTTTGTGAGTTCACCTCCCATCTGGAGAAGAAGACACCCTGCTTACTCCACCATCTGAGCACTTGCTCTGGCTGGCTGCCCCACCAGTCGCTGTTCCTCCCTACTGCCCTCCCTGGCAGCCACGGTTTCGCCCCTGCTGGCCGCCTACCAGCCGTTATTCCTCCCACACTTGTTCCAGTCACCGGTCACCTTCTGCCACCTGCTTCTCTGCTGTGACCTCTGCAGGTCAGTCTCTTGAAAATCCACCCAACTCTTAGTGACTGTCAGCTCTTAGTCACTATTAGCTCATAGCATGCTGGGCAGAAAGGCTGTCCCATCACACATGATTTCATCTCTTATTGAGCACTTAAAGTAACAAAAGACTCCTAATGGAGCTTATTTCGCTCTGTCTTTGAATAGTGGGGAGGAACAGGTAAAGCTAGACTTAGGTAGAGTCAACACCTCCTGGCAGGGACATCTGTTCATATCCCATCATTGTTCATACTCCATCAAAAGTCCAATATTGTTTAGGTCCAAAACTATAACACTTAGAAATAGCTCCCATGTTTGAGGCTACATGGTGGTGATAGTAACATGTTCTATCTTTCCCGTAGGTGACTTAATCTGTTTATTGGTGTCTAATGGTGTGACCATCATCCTTTTTCTTGGAAAATGGAAAAGTAAGTTAACTTAATTTTCTTTTATTTAATTTGCATAAGGTGTAAATTTTTAATAGTCAGGGTGATTAACCATTGGAACAATTTACCGAGCGTTGGGGTGGTATCTCCAATCCTGACAATTTCTAAATCAAGTTTGGATGTGTTTTTTTTTTTAAAAAAAACCTCTGCTCTAAGAATTATTTTGCGGCAGTTCTCTGGCCTGTGTTCTAGAGGTGATCAGACTAGATGATCACAATGGTCCCCTTTGGCCTCGGAATCGATGAAAAAACTGTCATATTGCACGTGAATGAGGTTAATTTTGCTTCAAAGAAGCTGACTGACAGCAACGGAGAGAACACAATGCTGGTCAAATTTACTGATAGCAAAAGTACTGGATCCAAATATTTGTCCACATGAACCTCACTGAAGGTGGCTAATTTATGATGTTCAAGATCTTTAAAATACAATTAGTGAATTTTAATATCCCCAGCAATGAATTCCACAGGTTGACTGTGTGTTGCGTGAAAAGTACTTCCGTTTGTTTGTTTTAAACCTATTAATTTAATCAAGTAACCCCTAGTTCTTGCTTTATGTAAATGGGTAATAATATTTACCTTTTCTCTTTGTCCACAGCATTCATGATTTTATAGATCTCTGTCATATTCCCCCTTTCTCATCTCTTTTCCAAGCTGAACAGTCCTACTCTTTTAAATCTCTTCTCGAATGGGAGCTGTTCCATACCCTTAATAATTTTTGTTGTCCTTCTCTATACTTTTTCCAATTCTAACATACTTTTTTTTTTAGATGGGGTGTCCTGAACTACACACAGTATTCAAGTTGTGGGCGCACCATGGATTCATATACTGGCATTATGTTATTTTCTCTCTTATTATCTATCTCTTTCCTAATGGTTCCTAACATTCTGTTAGCATTTTTGACTGCTGATGCACATTGAGCGGATGTTTTCATAGAATCATAGAATATCAGGGTTGGAAGGGACCTCAGGAGGTCATCTAGTCCAACCCCCTGCTCAAAGCAGGACCAATTCCCAACTAAATCATCCCAGCCAGGGCTTTGTCAAGCCGGGCCTTAAAAACCTCCAAGGAAGGAGACTCCACCACCTCCCTAGGTAACGCATTCCAGTGCTTCACCACCCTCCTAGTGAAATAGTGTTTCCTAATATTCAACCTAGACCTCCCCCACTGCAACTAGAGACCATTGCTCCTTGTTCTGTCATCTGCCACCACTGAGAACAGCCGAGTTCCATCCTCTTTGGAACCCCCCTTCAGGTAGTTGAAGGCTGCTATCAAATCCCCCCTCATTCTTCTCTTCTGGAGACTAAACAATCCCAGTTCCCTCAGCCTCTCCTCATAAGTCATGTGCTCCAGACCCCTAATCATTTTTGTTGCTCTCCGCTGGACTTTTTCCAATTTTTCTACATCCTTCTTGTAGTGTGGGGCCCAAAACTGGACACAGTACTCCAGATGAGGCCTCACCAAAGTCGAATAAAGGGGAACAATCACGTCCCTCGATCTGCTGATAGTTCCGAGAACTATCTACGCTTTTGAGAATTTTACCTTACTTACACCTGAATAAGATTTATGGATTTGGCCAAATATGAATTCAGGATGCTCAGTACTTCACAGAAGCAGGCAAGCTGGGTTCAGAATCAAACCTGTCTCTCACTGGCAGCAGTGGAATTCCCCATCTCCTGCAATCCCTAACTCCCTGCCAATTTTGTTGTGTCTCACAGGAGTCAGAGACTCCTTTAGCCCCACCTGCTGCAGAGATGGCTCTCTGAGGGAAATGCCAACATTGTATTTCATGTAGCCCCCTGTCAAGGTTCCTTCCCCACTCTAAACTTTAGGGTACAGGTGTGGGGGACCTGCATGAGAAGCTCTAAGCTCAATTAACAGCTTAGATCTGGTCTGGCTGCCACCACTCCCAAGCACTAATTCCTTTCCCTGGGTAGCCTTGAGAGACTTCACCAATTCCCTGGTGAACACCGATCCAAACCCCTTGGATCTTAAAACAAGGAGAAATTAACCATCCCCCCTCCTTTTCCCCACCAACTCCTGGTGGATCCAGATCCAGCCCCCTTGGATCTAAAAACAAGGAAAAATCAATCAGGTTATTAAAAAAGGCTTTTAATTAAAGAAAAGAAAGGTAAAAGAAAACCCTCTGGGAGAAATTAGCATACCAGTTACTCTCACAGACAACAGATTCCAAACACAGAGAATGTTCCGCTGGGCAAAAACTTAGTTACACAAAAAATACCCAAATACCCAATTTGATTATTCCTCTAATTGCACAAGACAAGTTACAAAGAAAATAAACATAAACCTATTTATTTCCTTCACTAATACTCACTACTTGATAAGGGGCTGAATTCTGGAACTTTCCCACTCCGGTCAAAAGTGAAACTGACCCAGACAAAGGGAACTTCCCTCCTTCCTTTTGAACCATCTTGTCCTCCCATTGGTTCCTCTGGTCAGGTGTCAGCTAGGCTAGGTGAACTTCTTAACCCTTTACAAGTAAAAGAGGCATTAACCCTTAACTATCTGTTTATGACACCCCCTTCCCTCCCACCCCCCAGCTGTCTTAAGCCTCCTCCCTGCTGCTTTCTAATTGGAGTGGCTTTTCTTCCCTCCTGGCATGCATTGGTTCCTGAGTTCTTTTTTTCAGGAGGAAGATGATATTCAACAAATGAAAGGCCACACTCAAAAATAACAGTATAACACAGGGAACTTTACTGGGGACAGGGAACATCCGCTCTAGCGAAACAACATAAGAACAGCCATACTGTGTCAGACCAATAATCCATGCAGCCCCAGTCTTCTGTCTTCTGACAGCGGCCAGTGCCTGATGCATCAGAGGGAATGAACAGAAGGGGAATTTCTCTAATGATCCATTCCCTATCATCCAGTCACAGCTTCTGATAGTCAGAGGCTTAGGGACACACAGAGCACTGGCTTGCATCCCTGATCATCTTGGTTTATAACTACTGAAGGATGTCTCTTCCATGAACTTATCTTATTCTTTTTTCTTTCTTTTTTTTGAACCCAATTATATTTTTGGCCGTCACAACATCTTTTGGCAACAAGTTGCCCCTACTTTATCACTTCCCCTAAGGCCCATCCCTACCCCACCTCTTCCCGTTCCCACTCTGCCTCTTCCTGCCCTGTTACACCCCCTCTCCTAAGAGCACTCCACCCTTGTTTCACCTCTTCCTTTCCCTGATTCTCCCCCCCAGAGCCTCCTGCCCCCTGCAGAACAGCTGTTCAGCGGTGGGCAAAAGGCGCTGGGTCGGAGGGGGAGGAGCTGATTGGTGGGGTCTGCTGGTGAGCGCACTTTCTCTTTGAGAAAAACTGTACCCCATTCACTGGAGCTCACACAAGCCCTTCAGTAGGAAAGTGTTCGCTAGGCCCGAAACCAGAGGACATGGGGATCTTAATTAGGACTATAGGGTTATATTAGCTCTGTATTTGGCTCTGTTGCTGGAATACTGTGCGCAGTTCTGGTGTCCCCAACTGAAGAAAGAAGGTGTCATACTGGAGAGCGTTCAGGGAACAGCACCAGAATGATTAAAGGATTAGATAACATGAGTTATAGTGATAGACTCAAAGAGCTCAATCTATTTAGCTCACCAAAGAAAAGGGGTGACTTGATTGCACTCTATACGTATGTAGATAGAGAACATATATGTGATAATGGGCTCTTTTGTCTAGCAGAGAATGGTCTAGCAAAATCCAATGGCTGGAAACTGAAACTAGGAAAGTCAGACTAGATATAAGGTATAAATTTTTAAGAGTGAGGGTGATTAGCCTTTCTAACAATTTACGAGGGGCTGAGGTGGATCCTCCATCACTGGAAGTTTTTTCTAAATGTACTGCTCTAATGCAAACATGAATTGTTTGGTAGAAGTTCTCTGGCCCATGTTATAGATGATGATAGTGCTTCCTTACGGCCTTAGACAGTATGATGTTCATTGTGTCACTTGCTACCTTACAGCTATTCTCCAATAAATACAGCTTTTCATATTTTAACTATTCGTTACATTTGCTCTTGGCCATATTATTACAAAAGGTGCTATTGTTATCTTTAAATATATGTTTTTCTTTTTTAGGAGACTAGGAAAAGAGAATAAGAAAGTCTGTGTCCTTTTTCTTCCGTGTGCTCTACTGCTCTATAGGAGTCTTATAGAATGAAAAGAAAAATCATTTTTATTTGACCTCACCCCACTTTCCTGTTTTGATAGAGCAGATTACTTAGCTAATTTTGTCACTAACATATATGAGCACTGGCTGGTTCTGAGCAGTGTTGCTCATACATTGTTGAAAATTAAATAGACTCACCCACAACTGGTCTGTATTCCCTGAGAGCCATAACACTCTAGCAGAGATACAATATGAAAGAGATTGTACATGTTGAAAGGACTCTGCATTGAAATAGTAAATAGAATACAGCACATGATGTAAATGGTGTTACTGCTCCTTTCATAGCAGATCCCATATTGGCAGAGGAGCGTAGTGTGTCATATTCTGCTTTTGCTAATTACTTCTGGCCATGAAGCTTCTTCTTAAATTGATTAAAGCAAGAATATAATCTGCTCTATCTACTACGTAGCAGGACCGGAATGGGGCTAGCCCATGGATTGAATAGCTAGCTAACTACCAATGGCCAATATTTATGTTAATCAACAAAGAAAGGATCTCATCACCCTCTTCAATTCACAAGTCAATGGACATACACTGAACTGTTTTCTTCTCCCCGTTGTTCTTTTGCAGAGGATCCCCAGGAGCAAATGGGTGAGTTTGCCTATTTTAATGAATACTTACAGTCAACTAACGCGTGCCCTGTATTGGTTCCAACAACTTCAACTGCAGAAGGGATGCTATCATTGCATGCCCCGTGGATAAGGGAAGTGGGGGGTCTGTGTAGATTACTCTGGAATCGTGGTATGCTATCGAGCTGAGACCTTACGAGCAGTTTGCAAAGAAAGTCAGAGGGGTAGGAGTCCAAGGGCAGTCGGGCATGAGAGAAAAAACATCCACGTGCTACAGGAACTGAACATATCCATTGAATGAAAAAGCTTTGGATGGGCAGTGTGGCAGGACCAAGTTGCTAGTGTTGTGCCTGACATTGTCGTAACTGAGGCCATGCAGACACCAACCCAGTGCCTCAGGGATGGAGGGAGAAATGTCTTCCTCAAATAGCTTCCCCGAAACTGGGAACCCACATCCTGTGCAGAGCACCCAGTGTAGGCTCTTTGACAATCCCCCTGCAAAGGAAGTGCTGATCGTCACAGAGGAATGTTTGCTAGCATAGGAAATAGAACCTAGATATTCTGTCTTCCGGTCCCGTGTACTCACTATGAAAGGAAGGTGTTGGCAGAAACGTTCCATGGGAATATGTTTATTTCAGGTGAAAAAATACTGTTTGGATTAAAAAAAGAATAAGAAAGATGCAAAAGCATCTCAGTAGAGTTAAAAGTTTCTATTTCCTCTGTATTAAAAAGGAATATTCTGATTTTTCACTTCAAAATGAAGGAGACATTGTTGAGGTTTGATTCAGTTACACAATAATGTGGGGGCAGTGTAGATACAGGTGCCAACTTTTTGATTTCCTCGTGGGTACTGGACCACCTCTCTGCCTCAGGTCCTGCCCCTACTATACCCATTCCCTCAAGGCCTGACCTCTGCCCCACCTGTTCCCACTCCCACTCTGCTTCTTCCTGTCCTGCTCCACCGCCTCTCCCAAGAGCCCCTCACCCTCGTTCCACCTCTTCCTTCCTTGGCTCCTCCTCCCCAGCACCTCCTGCCCTCTGCAGAAGAGCTGATCAGTGGCGGGCAGGAGACGCTAGGGTGGAGGGGGAGGAGATGATTGATGGTGTCTGCTGGTGAGTGCAATTTCTGTCTCAGAAAAACTGTACCCCATTCACTAGAGCTCACACAAGCCCTTCAGTAGGAAAGAGTTTGCTAGGCCCCAAACCTGAGGGTATGGGGATGATCCTAATTAGGATTATAGGGTTATATTAAATCTGTATTTGGCTCTGTTGCTGGAATACTGAGTGCAGTTGCGGTGTCCCCAACTGAAGAAAGAAGGTGTCAAATTGGAGAGGGTTCAGAGAAGAGCATCAGAATGATTAAAGGATTAGATATCATGTGTTATAGTGATAGTCTCAAAGAGCTCAATCTATTTAGCTCACCAAAGAAAAGGGGTGACTCGATTATACTCTATACATACGTAGATAGAGAACATATATGTGATAATGGGCTCTTTTGTCTAGCAGAGGATGGTCTAGCAAAATCCAATGGCTGGGAACTGAAACTATGAAAGTCAGACTAGAAATTAGGTATAATTTTTTAAGAGTGAGGGTGATTAGCCATTGTAACAATTTACAGGGGGTTGTGGTGGATCCTCCATCACTGGAAATGTTTTCTAAAGGATCTGCTGTAATGCAAACATGAATTGTTTGGGGGAAGTTCTCTGGCCCATGTTATATCTGATGAGAGTGCTTCCTTCCAGCCTCAGACAGTATGATGTTCATTGTGTCACTTGCTCCCTCGCGGCTATTCTCCAATAAATACAGCTTTTGATATTTTAACTATTAGTTACGTTTGTTCTTGGCCATATTATTACAAAAGGTGCTATTGTTATCTTTAAATATATTTTTTTTCTTTTTAAGGAGAATTGGAAAAGACAATAAGTAAGTCTGTGGCCTTTTTCTTCTGTGTGCTGTATTCCTCTTTTTGATAGAGCAGATTACTTGGCTAATTTTGTCAATAACGTATATGAGCACTTGCTGGTTCTGAGCAGTGCTGCTATACATTATTGAAATTTAAATAGACTCACCCACTACTTGTTTGTATTCTCCAAGAACCATAACACTCTTGCAGAGATACACATTCAAAGACAATGTACACATTGAAAGGACTCTGCATTGAAATAAGCAAATGGAATTCAGCTCATGTAAATGGTGTTACTGCTCCTTTCATAGCAGAACCCATATTGGCAGAGGAGCGTAGTGTGTCCTACTCACCTTTTGCTAATTACTTCTGGCCATGAATCTTCTTCTTAAATTTATTAATGCAAGAATATAATCTTCTCTATCTACTACATAGCGGGCCAGGAATGGGGCTAGTCCACAGATTGAATAGCTAGCTCACTACCCATGGCCAATATTTATGCTAATCAACAAAGAAAGGATCTCATTCACCCTCTTCAATTCATAACTCAATGGACATACACTGAACTGTTTTCTTCTCTTCCCCATTTTTCTTTTGCAGAAGAACTCCAGGAGAAAAATGGTGAGTTTGCCCATTTTACTCAATACTTACAGTCCACTGACCAAACTATGTGTGCCCTTATTGTTTCCAACAATTTCAACTGCAGAAGGGATGCTATCATTGCATGTCCCAAGGATATGGAAAGTGGAGGGTCTGTGTAGATAACTCTGGAATCGTGGTATGTCATCGAGCTGAGACCTCACCAGCACTTTGCAAAGAAAGTCGGAGGGGCAGGGGTTCAAGGGCAGTGGGGCATGTGAGAAAAAA